TTTTTTTTTTTTTTTTTTTTTTTTTTTTTCACCAGGCTTCGCCTGCTGCCAAGAGGGTGGCTCGCAGTGGGTGTGCCTGGCGATGATTAATTAGCGTTTGATGAATATGTATGAGAGAAAGGCAACCAACTCCGCTAACACGTACACACAGCTAGCATCCCCTGCGTTACAATAACGCGGCCAACCCCCTTCGCATAGCTCGTTTCAAGCTTGTGATAGCTCTGCCTCTCTCTCCCCGTTTCACCTCTACGGATTCTGCGACTCTTCCGTGAGCTGTATAACAATGCGTTTTCGGGTAAAAATTTTTCGTTACTGAACGTGGACGTTTACCCACGACCATCCATTATGATTTACGCGGATCTCATACATACACAGGTTCACATTTCGCGGTGAATTTTTGTTAAAACACGCCGGCCAAAATGTGAAATCAGCGGCCGACGATTGGAATCTAGTCTCGAGGTTGTCCGTTAGCAACAGAATTGAAGATCCAAGCTCGCGTCTAATTTGTGAATCATCGTTTCACGTTGAATCGAATTCGAAGAAAGTTAAAGGAAATTAATTCCAAATGTATAACTCTAAATGATTCGAAAGAGAATTGCGTTTCCATCGTTTTCCATCACAAGAAAACAGAAAAAAAGAAAGAAAGAAGAGCGAACGCTTCAGTTAAAATAAACGCGGAACCATGGTGTATGTCTGGTGGTATCGAGAACGCGTGACACATCGACTTTCCATGCTGTGCGTCCGATTGCAGGTATCGGGACGCGTTCTACACCGATATCCATCAGTATCGCATAAACTGGCCCGGTTGTATCGCCGGGAAAATATCACGTCCGCTAAACTGCGGCAGAGCGTGCGAGGGGTTTAGATTTCGGCGAAACGCGAGGTTGTGAAAGGCGAGCGGAACGAGCGAGCGAGCGAGCGAGCGGTCAGGCGCGCGCGCGCGAATTGTTCGCGCTGCGAGGAGAGAACAATGCAAACAATGGCAGGACGAAGCGCTGTGGTGAGACCCGGCTTACGCGGTGAATACAATTACATTATGAACTCGATTACCATTTAAATGGAAACAAACGTGAAATGCTAAAATACACCGACGACTCTCCGCCTCTGCCAGCCAACCAGAGCTTGTGCCTCTCGGCGCAACGCGCGCGAAAATGTGCAGCCGCCTCTCTCTCTCTCTGTCTCTCTCTCTCTCGAGTGCTCGATCATCGGTATGCAAATAGCGTGCACGGCATAGCGTTTCGCCCGCGCTCGGGAAATATTTCGCGCGAAGGGATTGCGTCGCGGAGAGATCATTTTTGCCGTTTCGTTTTGCCTTTTGACATTTTTTTCTGCTTTCATCATTGAGTGAAACAAAACTCGTCGTTCATCTCCGGTGATCTCGAGTCGTGGTTAATTTCTTTAGAAAGAAAGCAAATGCAAACAGGGATCGTTTAGAGATTGAAGATTATTGCAACAGGCGGCCGAAAAGAGAATTATTCATTTTTGCGGTATGCTTCTTCGAAACAATCGTTCGATTCCTCGATCGAATGCCGTTCACTTATAATTAGAAATTAGACCGATGTGTATGATTACGAACCATTATTTATGATATGAGGTAAAATGAAAAGAGATAACAAGATAGTCTTCAGAGAAAGTCTTGAAATCTTAATAAACAATACATATTTAAGTATAAGTTACAATCTGCGACAGCATAATCAGCGTAATCATGGAAACTGAGAGATTTTGTCCCATTCTCTGAATATCACAATAATCTCCATTACTTCAAAGATTTCGCATACATTTTCACACGCCGAACGTACGTCCGTGTGAAATTCCTTGCGTCCACGCGTTTGGTTTCTGCTCGATGGCCGTGCAATGAAAAAGAACTTCCGTTTAACGTGTCCCATCAGCACCCCTATTCTAATTATTATACACTTAATTTCCTAATGAACCGTATCGAACGGGCAGGCTCGATGAAACGACGCACTCGTGCACTGATTTCACGGGCCACCTGTCGCACTGCTGTCCTATCCTCCCCATTGGTTTCGTCGAATTGGACACGCCGGGTGTAAGACATTATTCTACGCGAAGGGTCACGAAAGCTCGACGAAGGCACGATTATATTTTCCTCGGGATGTAATTCGCAGCCAAGGGCTTTCTTACAACGCGTCGACCGCGAAATTTATTGGAAAACTGTACTCGACAATACAACTTCAACTTCAACTGCAGTTGTTTGCTGCAGCGTGCAAATTGATGGAGCGACAAAGGCGATTTGTTGTATTTGTATTTGAAGTTAATCACCGCGTGCAAATTATGCTGTATCATGCAATCTGTAATATTGACTTGTTAATATTCTTGTGTACATTATTCGTACATTATTGCAACCATCATCGCGTTGACTGTGCACATTAATCACTGCGCACGGCGTCGATCAATTTCGGAACATTCGTTGCTTTGTTCCTTCTTGCCTTCTACGTGTTGGAAATGTAATTCAAAATTCATGTTTCTCAAGGAAGGAAGATGGAAACTAACGTGAACGATTAACTAGTATCAAAATATTCTTTGCGCAATGCTTCAATTCCCACAATTGAGATGTGAAGCGATAATGTCACTGTGGAATGATAATAAAATTTATGAAAATTTGACAGTGTCGATCTCTGTTTCGAAAAAAGAAGCAACGGCTCGGAATTCCCCACAAGTCATAGTGATGCAGCATGGCCGATGCTGTTACCTGGTATTCAGTGACCCTACATAGAATGTACCTTTCTCTAGAATTCATGAAAGGATGAAAAACCAGGGGCGTGCCGTTTGTACTTTTCTATTTGGACGTTTTCGGACAAAGCTGTATCAATATTTCTTTCGTTTCCGCGGTCGTATGGCGTGAGATCCGTATATTCTTTGCACCCTTCGAATATTATATGTGCAACGTTCCACAAAATGTTTGTCGCGGCTCAGCCACGGACATTTCGTTCAAGTAGTTTATTTCAATTTCAACATCGTCTCGTTCTACGGGGAAAATTAAGCATTTTCAAAAATTCCGAAACATCGTCAAACGTGAAAATTCGATTCAACTGGGGATTTTCATATATTATCGAGTCAATCATATTGTGGACATTTCAATCGATGATATAAATCAAACTTCTCCGCTTGGCCTCTCAAATTC